TTAAAGATACATCCATTTATTCTCAGTTATGCCTTATTATCGCTGTACCTGTCAATGCTCAAACTATAGTCGGTAACTAGTCATCATATGCTCTTTATTGCTTCATATAAACTAGAATGCATTTTATGACACAAGCTAATTTTGATTTTGTCAAATAATATGATACTTGGGATTAATATTCTGTAAACTATGTATATAAATGGATATTTAAAATTTCTCAAATATGGACTCAAGTCTTAATTATTTCAACAAATAATTATTTACTCTTCATATGCTTTATATTTCAGAGCGTTTATTTCTGATTAAAATATACATTAGGTATGTTTAAACACACTCCATACCAAACAAAGTCTGAACTATTATTTTTCTAGATCAGCTGGGTCATTATAAAGTTACCCTTAATAAACATTGCATAAGTTTACTTGGCGAACAGACCAACTCAGATAGGAAGTGATTAAAGCAAGATAACTTTCTTTTTATAGAAGATTTTCGCAGAAAGGTATTTCACAATCATTTTTGTGAACTGCGTCTACTTGTTTAATTCTCATGAGGATGGCGTTTTAATTCCAAATTGAAGGATTGAAGAAAATGTTGGTATAGATCCAGAACGAAACGTCGGACTCGTGAAAAAAAATCACAAGGCAGTTGAGCCCCATTTACAACGTTTCTTACCATACATTTTAGACAGACAACAATATAACACTTTATGAGTGAATAACAGCAAAATAATATGCAGTGTGTCCATAGGTTTGATGGTGGATGTTAACGTAAAATTGTATATATATATATAAACACTTATTTCTGTTTAACAAATGTATTGTTATTCATATTGAAAGTTAGTTTAGTGGACATACATATTGGAATGTTTATTTACTCTAAAGTTGATTCCATTTATAATAAGAGTATTACTAAAAGAATAATCTATACAAATAGACGAATCACAGTGATTTTCTGGAGCAATACGAGATACAAGAAAAGATACATTTCATTGGCATTACTATTTTGATTTTACTTTAAAGTCAAAGTGTTCACAAGAAATGTTGTGATGATATAAGCATTGATTTTGAAGAGGGTATTGTTTCTCAAAATGGTGCGGTCTATACGTGGGATAAAATGCCAATGCGTTAGCTAAACTACAAAGACAAAATTTTATCCCACGTGATTGTCCTATTCTTCATTCATGGCATAAAATTTTGAGCTTGTGGTTAAGACACTGCATTATTCTTCACTCAACAGAACATTATTAATACTGATTAATATTCGCTTGTTCATTTTGTTTTGTATTTGCATAATTTACAAGGTAAGCTGTAAGGTTATTTCAAGGTATAAGGCCTATATAATAAAGAGTTAATTGAAGTGATATAATTTCATGCCTTGTATGATCATGATTGAAACATAACAATTCACAATTGGTGTGTTGAAAAATAGAATGCATTTGCTCATGTTTGAAAATTTTACACTAAATTGTCTCCCAAATGCAATATATATATATATATATATATATATAGTTCCTTTGCATGAAATTCTTTGCCATCGATCAAACTGGATTGAGGGAGATGAAAAAGTTCGAAAATGGTTAGGTAATAAAGTTAGCCTTTATATTACTTACACAGCACCATTACTTTTTTACTTCAGTCACGTATATATTTCTGATGAAAAATATTAGTAACAAATGAAATGAAGTAGTTGTACACACAGCCTGTAAATAAATAAATAGACACCCTTTCCAGAAAGAATGGCATTTTATTAAATAACAAAAATCATGAAAACAATTGTGTAATATTACCATTTAATGGATCCACCCCTTCCAATATTCAAGAAGAAACAAAGTTACACATCGTATTTACAATATCTGAAATACGGGCCTGTGGAATTTCAACCTACATCTAGTGAAGAACTTGGACGAGGGGACCAAAATGTTTATTTTTTATGAAGCTTTTGCAGGTAACAATCAATGATGGACTAACTACACATGCACTATAGTGTTCTTATCCGGCGATTGGCCTAGCCATTGAGAATAGTAATGCCCTGATCTTCTAGCCATCGTTCTGAGAGAGCAGAAGCCTATTTTAAATGAGAGAATTTCCTTGCCTTCTTAGCTGGTTATTGACTAAACAGGTAAAAGGGCCCCGCAATAGTACATGTCGTGGTTTGCAGAGGACTCAACGAAAGTTCTTGAGAGGATAGTCGCCAAGCCTAGGTGTATCCACTGAATGGATCAGGGTATGAAGCTCACTGCTGTCTAAGTACGATACTGCCTGGGGAGAGGAATAGCTTCCGTCTAGCTAATTCTGCCATTGTACCCCATACTATGAAAATAACTTGTGATATCATTAGAATTTTGGGCACACTTGCACCTGTCCAGCAACAATACCAGCCGTTTGATGTGTGTCATTCTTTACACTTCTTGCAGCACAAAGACTGTTCTGTTGGTTTAGGCGCCCGCGTTGAGCAGAAAATGTTTTCCGACCTAATTAGAACTGATTTTGACCGCTATCCCACCATGAGAATATGGTTAATTACCAGGATCCTTTGATAGATATATTTGTTTGTGCTGTGTGGCCTAAACATGTATATACCCTTACCAAAAGTGGTAAATTTTCGGTGGCATCACATTACTTACGTAATGCCAAGCAATATCAAAATGTAGTTCTCATATATTCCATTCCACCTCGACCTTATATCGACTGTGGCTACCACGTAACTAGCTGATTTACGTGTTCAAAATTGTTTTAATATAACGTACACATCTCCCTGTAGTTTTCACCAATCCTTTGAATAATGGTTTCACTGCGCATA